AGCCACATCATGCATGGATGACTTGGCTCAACCTCGAACCCAAGTCGTTCCTGCAGGTCAGATAAGATGGCCCTCACCTGACGCTTGAGCTCCCATACACCGACCTCAATGTACCCGTTTGCTTGATGGTCTTCCACTGGTGCTTCAACCATGTGAATCTTCAGCTTACTTTCCTCCTTCACTTTGCCTTTCAGAGCAAGCATGGCTGGCTCGTTGTCACTCTTCAAAACAAGCTCATTGAAACCTGTCTCATTGAGGCAAGCCTTCAACCACACTACAGAAAACAAATCTGCCCCGTTCGATGGAACCACGTTCGCCCAATAACGACCCGTCTTGTGACACTTCACAATCAAGCACGGCAAAATGCCGTCGCTCTCCGAGTCGCTTCTCTTTTCCTGCCCTGCGTTCATGTAGCAGTAGTCGAGTGAAACATGCGGAATCCTACCCTCTTCGTCCTGAGCTGCAAGTCCACGCGGATGTCGCGGACCCGTTACGCAGGCCCTTTGGCAGTGGACGCACCAGCTCCGGTGAACAACGTGCCCAGCAGCGCCGGTGACCGCTTTACGATCACCTGCGCTTGCTCCTCTCCAACCTCTTCTCCCGATTCCTCATCGGGTGCCCCGGCCGACGCGGCTGGAGCATCCTCCAATGGTTGGAGTTCCGGACTTACACCCGATTGGGAGGCCCGCCAAAAGAGTCGGAGCCTTCCTTCGATCCGGGCGCAATCCAAAAAGTCCATGAGGTAGATCGCATTGTGCATTCGCACCGGAGTCATTCCCCCATGCTTCTTATGGAGCTTTTCCATGAAAGCTGAATACTCCTTTCCAGCCTTGGAGTCCTTTGGGATCAGCAATCCGCCACGGGCTCCGAGCGCGCTTGCGCTTGTAGTAGTCCTTTCCGCGGATGCGAGGCTCAGCTGCTTTGCGGGTCGTTGGCCGCTCAAGCGCTGCCTTTTCGTCATCCGGAAACTGCTGGAAGGATTCGCGTTCCTTCCGGCTCATGGGCACGGCTTCATCTCGACGTTCAATCGGCTTCGACTTGTCCTTGCGATCGTCCAAAACCTCGGTCTCCACATTGGCGTTGAGGCCATCGAGATCCTTGCGCTTCTTGCCAGTGTCTGGCGCGCTATGCTTGGAGTGCCACTTGTCATCAAGTTCAAGCTTCTCTGACACTCGATCGACCAAACCGCTTCGCCGGTCCAGGATTGCCCGACGGCGGCCCTTCTCATTCTTCCAGGCGATGTGATGCGGCTTGCCAGCTGCCACGTCAGCATAGTACCTGGAGTCGTGGAAGCTCTGGTCGTGCATGTTGTCCTTGGTGATCTTGATCGATTGGCGAGGCGTGTCACGCTGGGGCTCCTTCTTCTGCTTCTCCAGCTCGGCCTTCTTGTTCGGATCCTCCTCAGTTTCGATCTCTGAGGAGAGGTTCGATGCAAGTGCGGATCGAAGCATCCCCAATGCACCGCTGGTGAATCCGGAATTCGCCGGCCGGCTTTGAATCCGACTTCGAATCCGGGGCCTTTGGCTTGGCCTTCACCTTCGCTGGCATTGCCTTCACCTTAGGCTTCTTCTCCTTCTTCTCGGACCCTTCACGCTCGCGCTTATTCGCTTCGCGCTCCTCCGGGGATTCCATCGACTTCACCCCGGGAGGATAGGCCGGCTCACGAGGGCGGCGCTTGTCTGGCTTCTGAGGACCTCCTTCCGAAGCGGTCGGAGTCTCCTCGCTCCTCGTGGCCTTCTCCTTGATGAAGACGCCAACACTCCCTTTTGGCGTACGCCGTTCCGGCTTCGTGGAACGTGCTCGCCTCGGCGGCGCCGACTTAGGCTTTGTGGTCTCGTCCGCAAGCTTGAGGAATTCCTTCCTGCTCTCAGTGGTGCCTGCGCTCCGCTCGCGACGTCTACTCTTGCTCCTGTCGCGACGCTTGTTCTCGCGGATGATGCGCTCCTCCTCCTCGTCAGTGGATTCGCGCTTGACCTTCTTCTTGGTGAACGTCCGCGCTTCGGCGATCGCGAACGCTCTTTGGGAGGATCCCGCGAATCTCGCTCACGGGTCTCCTTCTCTTCCTGGCACTTGAGCTGATCACGCAGCTTGTAGTTCTCTTCGATCAGCCGCATAATCATCACGTCGACTGACCGATCCCCAGAGGATCCAGCTCCGGAGTCAGCAAGTGAGGACCTGCCTTGGCCTTCAACCGGCATGCGATTGAAATCTTCTGCCGTGAATCGCTTCATGGCAGTCGCAAGGTCCATGTCGAGGTGAACCCTATCGTAGGATGGCTTCTTTTGAGCCTCCTTCGAATCCTCTTTCTTTGAAGCTGGTCGCTTTTGCTACCCATATTGGATCGGGTGCGATGGAGTGCTCCCAACACCAACGAATTGTGCCTTCTGGGTTTGAGCCCGCGTCTTCGGTCCAGTCGCCGTACCAACCCGAGTCCCCTTCGTCCCAACCGCCGGCGTCCCACGATCCAGCCTGCTCCTCGCCTTCTTGTTCCTTCTCAGCCTCGACGCTTCCTATGGCTTTTCCTCCTTTGCCTTTTCCTTTTCCACTTCCTTTCTTTCCTCCTTTCTTGCCTCCTCCTTTGCTGCCTCCTTTACCTTTCGGGGAACCTTTTGAGCCTTTTGGTCCGGAGGGCGGGCTGCCCTTCGGTCCTTTGCCTTTAGGAATCCCTTTGGAGTTCGCTTTACCTCCGCCGGGAGCCCAACACTCGGATTTGTAGTGTCCGAGCTTACCACAGTTGTGGCATGTGGCACTCTTCTTGTCTCCGCCTGCAAGTGCGCCTATGTCCATGGGCTGTGGCCCATTGTAATCCGAACACTGGAATGACCGCCACCAGACTTGAGCTTCAGTCCAATGCGCATCTCCAAATACGTGGAGAGTTCCTTCCGGACTTCGAGATAGTCTGCAAAGCGTGCTTGGTTGAGTTGAAGATGTCGTTCAACTTCAACCGGACAAATAGACTCCAAGATGGAGATCTTAATGTCCTCATCCAAAGTTGGTCTCGAGCCATCAGCCTTTCGTCGATTCTCGTATTGTCAAACCTGGTCTTCCCAGTTCTCGACAGCTGCGCTCAACTCTTCGACTTTGTTGCAACGGTTCGGACTCAGCACCGAACGAAGCAGTGCCCTCCGACGACCTCCAGTCGAAGGACCGAACCGCTTGCACAGTCGTCTCCAAGCTTCCAAGCCTTTACTCTTACCTGCGCTTCTCACGAGCGTAAATGCCTCTTTCTCGCAAAGGGTTTGGAGAACAGCGTAAAGTTGTGCATCTTTTGATTCCAGGTCTGGTATTGTCTCCTGTGCCGGAGTAGTCTCACCAAACTCGGCATTCATGGATGCGTTTGCTGATTGGATCTGTTTCGTCTTCTGCCCATGGCTTGGCCGAAGTCACCATGAACGGACTCAACAAAAGCTTCCAACCGGATCTTCCATTGGAGGAAATCCGAGTTACCATCAAAGTTGCTTGGCTTTGCCAAACCGCGGTTGTCCACCAGAGTCAACTTCTTATCTGGCTTCTTGGACGCTTCCAGGATGGCCTTCTGCGTGTTGACCATCTCCTGCAAAGCTGCCTGCATAGCTCCTGTACTCTGAACCGCCTGAAGCCTATTGTTCAAGTCCTCTTCTCTCCTTCGACTCTCATTCAACTCATTCCTCAAGGTTACAACCTGGGCCGCGATCTGCTCGAGGGTGGCCATTACTGATCAGCTGCTCCCGGTTGAGTCAACCGAGAATTCAACAGCCGTTGCCTGAATGCCTGGCTGGCAATCAGGTCTTGGAGATGATGTCCCAGGTATCCGAAGATGCGTTTAAGCCTCCGAATCCTGAACAGCCGATTAATCAACCGGCGCCACAACCTCAGTACCCTCACAGCAGCCTGATCCCTTTGCTGGCACAAACGAGTCCGAAGGGTTTCCCAAAGGGTGAACATCTACCGGAGTCGCACCGAGCGCTCCGCTACCATGAACAGAAAGTAGCAACGCTCCTATTTACTTGAGCCAAAACTAGTGGTACCCTTCATGTTTATGAGGGTCTAGGACTCAAATCACAGTATCATAATTGATCATAATTGAATCCGGTGGTCAAAGGGAGCGCCATTGTCCAGCCACTACCAGTGCCTTGGATCAGTGACAAACTCGTGGTGCGGAGAGGGTGCCAACAAATGCACAACTGGACGTTAGGTGCGTATCGTGACGGACTGATACTTAGAACCTCATTTGGAAAACATGAAAAAACGTTTTTTCCACAGCAGAACGGGTCTAAGTGCATGCGCATAGAACCAAAGCACCCTACTTGGAAGCAAAATCCCGAGTGCGCACTTAGAACTAAAGCAAGGATGAAACTACAAGTTTCTCCCTAGCAAAGACACAAAGTTATGCTGCATTTTGCTATTCTATGAATGCTTTCCACAAACCATTTGAGGAGCACAATGGAAAAGGAGATCAAGCCCGAGTCTTTTTCCCCAGCTGTATTGCACGTCTTTCTTCTCACACTATATATATATATATATATATAGAGTTTATACTAAAGTGACGGACACATACTTATGAACCTGTGTAGAGTACAATGGCTTTCACAGGTTCTAAGTATTGTTCTGCTGTTGTTTTTTGGTTCTAAGTATCACCTGGCCCTTCTGGTTCTAAGTAAGCGGTCCGGATCGTTTGGAAAAAATGAGTAGGTTCTAAGTTCTAAGTATGTGTCCGTCACTATTTAAAATATCAAATTGGCCACCTTCAACAGGGACATGCGCAGCATGTCCTTCTTCCCTGCCAAAAATCAAAGGCGGCACTGCGATCCCAAGAGGACCATGACCCCAACGGTTGGAGGCCATCGCTGAGGTTGGAGGTCATCGCTAGTAGGTTGGAGGCCATCGCGATCAGCTTGGAGGCCATCACTAGAGGCCATCGCTAGTAGGTTGCAGGCCATCCCTATTAGGTTGGAGGCCATCACTAGTACGTAGGTAAATATCGACTTCACCCGCCAGAAACTCGTTGCGCTCTGTCACGCCTACCGGGGCGTCTTTGGCCTGTTCGGGCAACCGTCTCGGAGCCGCGTCTCCGACGAAGACTTGCGCCACAAGCTGCCTGTATTGGTTGCTAAAGCCAGCCAAAGACTTTATAACAGAATCATCTATGTGGACATGTCACTACCTGATACTGGTAGTGACTACCTGTGGACCTTATATTTCGGCCATGGGCCGTGTATGTGGGCCTTCCCCCAAACGTCATGTTTCAACCTCCCCAACTACTGTTGCTGAGCACCCTGTGTGTGTTCATTGGTGATCGGAGACTTGCATGCACAGACCCCAGAGCTCACCGTGCCGCTTCCACCGTTGAGCACATTGCAGGTGGCCTTCTCGGCAGTGGCCGCCAGGGTCTTGCACCTAAGGGGTGGTTCGAGGTTTCCTTTGGTTTGGCTGCTCGGATATCCAATATCTCGGCCATGTGAAGGTTGGAAACGTGACCCAGGATGACAGTCCATCATCGCAACGTAGGTACATCTCGACCACTGATACCTACGCTACAGGGGGATCTGTGTGCAAATAGAACAATCAATTGGAGAATCATTGCTTAGTCGAGGCCATCGCTATTAGGTTGGAGGCCATCGCTAGCAGGTTGGAGGCCATCGCTAGTAGGTTGGAGGTCATCGCTATTAGATTAGTTGGTCCCTTCCACATCACCTCACCATGGAGAAAATCGAAGCGGAGAGGATCAATTCAAGGAGGAGTGCCTCATGTTGAGACAGGTCCATGTCACCTCAAACCCCATGCAACAATCCCGGTGAACAACGGGTGCTTTTCTCTCGCCCAGTTCATGCACAAGGATCCACTTAAAGGGTCCATGTGTTCTTTTGTGTTTGGAAAGAACAAACAAAATGGAGTTGTTCTTTAACCATTTCCATGTGTTCTTCCATGTGTTCTTTAGATAATTTAGCCATTTCCAGTTTGCTACTTCTCGTTCTCCTTCACCCAATGAAAAGTCACCTGAAGGACTTTTGGCGCCACTGAGATCCCTGGCCACTCGGCAGCCTGGCAACTCGGACGTTTTGATGAATGGGACCGAAACTCGGGCGGGGGTGAGTAGGTTGACCTTGGCTTTTCTGGGACCTTGGGATGTCGGCAAGTGCCAGAAGTATGAGAAGATGTGCAACCTTACACCCAGGAACCATTGGACAGGATTTCACACAAGTATCTGCATGTTCAAGGCTGAAGCGTAAATATATATATATGTATTTATATATATATTAATTCATGGGTTGAGCGTTGAGGCCCAGGTTTTCTGCGTCCAATCTGGTCGCCATCCTCTCTTGCAGGTTTTGGAACCTGTATTCAAGCTCTGGAATAAGTCTTTGCAGCCTGCTGGCAGAATCACTGTAAGAAGATTTGTCTGTAAGAAGGGTTTTTACCATCAAACTGCAGGTAGTTGAAATAAGCAGAAGTTGCTGATGAAGAAGTGAAGGCGTTTTGAACACAGTGCGATCAAGAACCGGCCTCTGCCATGGTTGACAGTGTGGGGAACAGCAGGGAGTGATCAGCAGTCAGTCTTAGGCTGCAGAACCAGGAAGCAATAAAAAGTTTGAGAAAATGATAATCTCATAATCAGATAAAATGATGGACATTCACAAGCTCTAGAAAACAGTGGCCCTCAAGAGAGCACGACAAAGCTTGGGGACTGTGCAGCAACCATCACAAGTTCAGAGGGTCCTTGTTTAGCTGCGCCTTGCAAAACCCGCACAGCTGCAAGACCAAACGTGCAGGGAGGATGCTTCCTTCCTGCGGCAGGTGTGTTCAAATTCTCTGCCCCGGGTGCGATCTTGGTGTATGTTCAGATTTTATTTAATCAAAAGGTACAACATTTAGATAGAACAAAGTTAAGTTCAGTGTCCCTAAAACCTTAGCATACAAATCTCGGAACTAAATCATTCGTGCGAGCTATTCTGCATAGCTTCTTATTGCTAGTAGCCGTGCCAGGGGTTTGTGCACCTAGCCTGCACCTGATCAAGTGGGTCAATACGACCTCTGTTCACTTGAAGGGGAGCCCTTAAATGACTATGTCGATGTCTCATAAAAGACTTGCAAGTTGAGCAGAAAGGCGTCTCATCCCCCGAAAGCTCCTGATGGGCGCCGGAGCTTTTTCCAGCTTTGGCTCCTGGCATCAGTGCTGTTGGATTGGCTAGGAAATGGGTTTCGGGTGGCAAATCAACAGCACTGATTTGTCGACGAGCGTCGCACTGACTTGCTACGACATGCAACACTGGAAGATAGTGAGGGACATCCACATGAGCTCAGCCCGCAAGAGGCGAGAACAAGGCCTAGAACCACTGGCCGATACAACAGACAACAGCATGACCAGCCACAACCTCCAACAACAGCAAGACAACTCTGACTCACCTCAGGATTGATGGTTCTGCTGGTTTCTTATTGGTTTTGATCTTAATGAAATGCAATATTTCCGAGAAGCAGGTGGCATGTACGTTTCCGTGAGCTCAATGTTCCGTACCCTGACCATTTGCACGACACTTGTTTTCCATTGCCCTCACACACTTGGGCACGTTTGCAGCTGGTCTTTCCACTTGATAATATATATATATATATGTATATATACGTATATAGTAACTTAGTACGTCTATGCAAAGCCCTGCTCGCAACGCGCTTCCAGCACAAGTGCACACCTACCCTTCCGGACTTTGGCAGGGCAAGCACACCCTGCAAATGTTGGCACGTAGGGCATATGGTCTGCAAAGGGCCCATTTTGTGTCAGATACCAATACCCCTTGTCCATCCAGATCATGACGAGTGACAACTCAAGTGAGCCCAAGGTTCCAGACCCCCACGCCCTGCCACATGCTGTTTCCCCTGCCTGACTGACAGTGTCCCATGATTCCTGCAAGGCTGAGAGGCCATTCGACAGAGCAACATGCATTGCCAGCCTCCAATCTAAAAGGAACACTCGTCGCTTGGGGTACAGTAACCCCTGACACAAGCACTAGAGTCTAGAGTGTGTACTGCCAACATAAAAGACCATCTGGGAGGCTGCAATGATTCCAGCATCTGTGGGCGTGTGTGTGTGTGTGTGTCCACCCCTGGACAAAGGGTCTTCCACCACCACTCTTTCCATGCTTTTCAACTACCTTGGGCAGGGGGCGACAGAGTCGCTGCATGGCTGTCGCCAACGAAGCTCCATGCAGTTGACTAGGATATCACGGCTGATCACCGTGACGTACCTGCCACAGCAACCTTTGACCACGCTGTCTAATCTGCCTGGTTTGTTTCCATGGTTCTTCATGATACCTTCCCCCTAAACCACTTCCTCCCCAGCAGCGCTGCAGCTTGAGCCGCTTCGTCACCGCAGTCAAGGGAAACAACCTTTGTTCAAACACCTACAATTTTCTCGGACCTTTCGCCATGCTGTTCCACCACCTTCCTTCCCAGCGGAGAGATTGAGCTCTAACGGAAAACCAATGTCGAAGTGTGTCCTGCTCAGCCGTCCCACTCGGGTGCTGAGTGTGATCCCCGTCACAGGGGCGCCGATCTTGCATGGGAAAGCAACCACCCCAACGCACTACCACTCACTGGACTCTCACAGGAAGGCACCGACACCCTCACCGAATCAACAGACATACCGGCCGCCGGGCCAAAAAACGGTTCTTGAAGAATACATCGGATTTCAGCTTTCAGATTTCGGATCCGTCATTTCATTTCTCCAAGTCATGTTCGTGTTTCCACGTTTTGCCATATTGACGCCGCGATTCTTTCATCGGCAGAACTCAAGGTTGGGCATTAGAGCTCTTCAGTCTAATTCGAGATGCATGAACACACACCTACCAACAAGCTCACATCTAGCACCACCTTACAACATACTCTCCATCGACACCAGAGATGAGACTTTCAACAACAACATGACAATACAACTCGGCACTTCTCCGCTGCCTTTTTGCTGCCGCGCCGCGCCGTGCCATAGCTACGACCACGACATGCATTTTCCGTGGCCATACGCTCACGCCACGCCACCACCATTACCTACCACACAACCTCAACCCACATGGCCGCTGCCACAGCCATCAACTGCACCCACTTTTCCCACGACACAACCATCGGCATACCCTCACCCACAACCACAACCATTTCAACCACCACCTTTTTTGTCCAATCCTACCGCCACTGCACTGACCTACGGCACACCATCCACTTGGACGTTTGTGCAACCATGTCACGTGCCACCGCAGCCCACACATCCAACTCCAGTATTTCCGTCAGCAGCACCTCCCCCTTCATACATGTTGCCACCACTTCATCCCACACCACCGGCTGAACTTCCTCCCCCCACTACACTGACACATCCCCCTCCAACACAGCAACAGACCGCGATTGCCAATCATCCATCCACAGACCCACAATGCGCCATCCCCCAGGGCGTTTGGCAACCCTATTCAGCCTTTCCCCCAGTCACACAGCCTCCACCCCAACCATTGCCCCCGCCACCACCTCCACAAACCATCAACGCCTCACCACCAGTCCAGCCTCCACTCCCACACCAGACACCATCCGATCCAGCACCACCAATCCAACACATCCCCACAACCGCCACGGACGCTCCATTGCCGGTCCAAAACACGACCCCTCCAGCTACTGTATCCCAACATTCTGCATCACCATCGCTTGCATCAGCCACACCAGCACCCGGACCTTCACTACCTGCACCAGACAAGCTTGACACCACTGTCTCACCAGCACCACAACCACTTTCCCCGCAGCCACCACACAGCAGTCGCCGCCACCACCACAAGAACCGACACAAGTCCGACCATCACCGCAGAGGACGCCACCGCCACCGCCGCCGACATCGACATCACCACCACTCCAAGCACCACAGCACAACCAGGCGACGGCGTTCGCCCTCGACATCCACCTACACATCCAGCCTTACACCATCCCGCAGTCGCTCACCACAACCCATCGATTTACGCCCCAACACTGAACACACCAACACCGACCCTTCTCAATTTCCCACCACAGCCGTCCTTCGTCGCCCAATCAACCGTTGGCGACCTCCACCCAACTTTCACACCTTTACACCTGCAGACCAAATCCTGGAATGGCTTGAATTCCACGCCACCCAACTCGACAACCCCAACCGACCACAACACCAGTACATTGCCAATCTCCTCACAGACTGCAACATCACCTACAAGGAGATCACCGATTTCCGGCAATATACTCACGCCAAGTGGAACGACACAACTCACCAATACGACCAATTCCAATACTACGCCATTTCACTTCCTTTCCTCAACACCAAAGCCACTACACCAGAACCGCCTGCGGTTTCCCGAGCCACATCAACCCACCGGGAAGTCGCCCACATCAACGCAGGCCACACAGGCCCTGTCGGCAACATTTCCAACATTCTACGCCAAGGCCGATTTTTACCCAGCACACTCCACTTTGCCAACTACCCTGGATTTTTTGCCCAGGGCGTTCGCATCACCCACAACCAACCCCATGACCACAACGAATTTGCCCGCATCATCCACAACACCTGGCAACTCCACAAGAACTCCCATTCCCTTATCATCACACTCCTTGCTTGGGGTGCTGCCACAAAATATACCTCCGGAGGTGAGGAACACGCCATGAACCTCCTTAACGATCACCATGGTGCAGTCTTCCATCAGAAGGGCCGCTGCTGGGTGATCCACCCGGACCACGCCATTGTCAAAGGCCTGGCCTGGTCCACAAACTCCACTCCACCTGACACATAACACCACTGTCCCACACCTACACACCACTACCACCTCCACATCCACCTTTGGTCTCACACCACCACCTAACCTTTGCTCGTAGCAGCCAAAAACAGCCTCCTGCAGCGGCCACGCGAATTTTGCACCCTCAATTTTTCAAGCTATGCAGTTTTTGCTGTACACATCTTTCTTCGAATCGTACTGGCTGTTTTGATGGAGTATTTCACACGTCAGAGTTCCATGCACTTGACTGTCCAACCGGCGTTGCATTTTCGTACCATGCCTGTG